CCACCACTTATCTCCATATTCCATATAAATAATGGTCTTTTCTGTAAACGATTTTCAAATTCATATAGAGACTAGAGCTATTTATAAATACGTTATCTATCTTTATGTTTAGCTCCACATTCAGTTATAAAAGCATCTCACTCAGACACATGGCGAGTCATCAGGACTCAGTAGCTGGAATAGTGAGCGTGGCCACAGCAAACTTTGATCAATGGTGTTACTCAGCTTTACAAATGTGATGTATTTGCAATGTGGACACAGAGTGGAATGACTCTCCTCTGCTCTGATCACTGGTGACAGTATGCTGCAGTACAGGAAGTGGGAGGTGCTCACAGCAGAGTGCTTTTGCCATAAAAATCTCCAACAACACAGAAAAAAAGATTTCCTTGTTTTTTGTTTTGTTTTTGTTTTTTGTATAAGAAGTCGCTACAGGGGTTTTAAAAGTCCCCAAATATAGCGACAAAGTTTAGAAGTAAGCAACAGTGCATCTTTCCTCCTGACCACAGCCCTGCTTACCAGCCTCTGTTGAACACCCACACTTGGCTACACCCCTTGGTGTCTTTTGGCTCCACCCACTTTGCTGGTTTGTTTCCAAATTTGTGAAGGGTGAGGATAAGCTTTATTAAGGTGGTTAGTTACATTTTAAGACTGTAAAAATCCGCTTTGGTTCTGGTCCCTTTTGCTTCAGCATTTGAGACCAACTTATCTGGATCTATACTGAATGAAGACTGTATCAGCCTGCTAAATGCTATCTATCCATAATAATAATAACCTGTCCGTCTACCTATTTGTCTGTCTAAACTAGTTATCTGCACTCCCCCTTGTGCTTGTTCTCCAGCTCATTCAGCAAATGAGGTCAAGAGACTGAGATTTTTTTTCAACAATGAATTGCTAAAGAGAAATAAGGAAAATATGTGGATTTCAGCTGATGTAGTCATTGCTATAGTTAATGTTTGTTTTGCTATTGCACAATTTTTCCATTTTGTGCAGCCCTGTGAAGAAACCAAGCGCATTTTCTACTGCAGTTATGATGTAATATACTTTTAACAGAACTTCATTTCAACAACTCCACTCTACTCCTTTAAGGCGGCGGGCTGTAAGTGGGACCTCTGACAACATGAGAGGCCAGGAAAGGTCAGGAAAACTCACAGATGCATTTTTTGCTTGAGCTTCAACTTACCGGCCTCGATTTCCTCAGGGCTTTTCTTTTTCTTTGCTTTGCCCTTCTCCTCTACTGTAACTTCAGCTGGCTCGTCTGACATTTCAGCGTCCCATCTGCCCCGGTCTCCGATCAGTCCCTGGGGTTCTCTCGCCAGAGCTTTGGCTCTTGACAGCTGCTGCTCCTCCACAGGTTCTTCGGCGCTGACCAGAGCCCAACAAAGGCTCAGCCCGACCCAGACCACCAGCACCGCGACCCTCATTTCTCTGAAATAAAGCATGAGGGTGAATTTCAGCAGATGTACTCCAGGGGTAAATCCTAAAACTAGATGCAGAGATAGCTCGACATCTGACCTGCAGATGCAACGGAGGCGTCTGGAGATGAGGGCATGAAAAGGAAGAGTCTAGAGAGCTTCCTCCTCTCTAATGAGAGCCTGCACAGGCTGAGGAAGAAAACTGCTGACTTAACACACACACACACACACACACACACACACACACACACACACGCCTCCTCTGCTGCCTCTTACTTATCCGTCATAGCCCTTCACCCCCTCTTTCCCCTCACCCGTCTCTCAGGAGAGGGGAGGAGCATCTGTCATGCATGGGACATTCCTGTGAGGGAGACAGCAGAAGGAAAAAGGGGAAGAAGTGTAGGAGGGTGACTGTTTGGCTTTTCACAAAAGAAATTGACTCGACTCTCAGGTTTGCTTGATGCAGGCAGAGCATAAGGGGGCTAATTATAACTTTGGAAAAACTGATTTCAGACTGAACAAAGCCAGAGGAATCGCTTGTGGGAAGAATAAGAGGAGTAACATGATGGCCGTTTGCTGTGCAAAACTCGGTGATTTAAAGAGACAGTATTGTGTAAAAGTTACACATCATTTTATAATGTTATTCCCTCATCAAAAACATACCTGGAGGGCTGCTTTGATTCTTTCATGCATGATTAAGAAATCCTTTAATCTCCCATGGCAACCATTCAGTTGTGCAAAATGCCTGGGTGGACTTAGCATCGCAGCTCCTCCCAGGAACTACAGTTTCCAAGCTTCCCAGCTTTTGCCTCAAAGAGCCACCCTCCCCCAGAATCCCCGCATTCAGCTCCTTCAGGCTAGCCAGCAGCAATTAGCAAACACCTGGTGACCCACGCATCTGTGAAGCTCATTATAGGAATTACTTCTCAGCACAATGCTGGTAAAATCGTTGCTAAAGGGTTACTAGAGGAGTTATGTTGTCATGACTTCTTGAAGGCAGAGTTTCAGAAAGAACTGTAGTTTTTAAAGAGGCAGAGGCCCAATTTTAAATCTTCAAATTATGTAAAATTTATTTTAAATCATACTTTATACAGCATTTTATTTAAAAGTGAAACTGTCATCTTAAGCGCATCGTCTCACAATTGTGATTGAGATTGTGAGCTAACAAATATTAGCAAAACAAGTCTTTCCCAGAAGTATGATGCTTGTGAAATGTATACATTTTGAACTTTTGAAATCTATATTTAGTGATCACTGATAATCCAGTGCAGAAGAGTTTTTACATGAATGCATGACTTAAAAAAGAGAACTGTTCTAAAGTCGGATTCTTCATAAACTGAATAACATAACGGACAGCAGGGCGTCCCCTTCATGATAACACTGTCTTCAGTCAGACGTTCCTTCAGAACTGCTGTAATACAGACCACTACAGGAGACCCTTCCTGTCCAAAGTCATTCCCATTTATGAGTTAATGAAAACATTTAATTTCACAAAACATTAGGAAAGTATTACTGAATAAAACTGAACAACGCAAATTGCTTTTTCTGCGATAAAAGCTCCACATCTGTATCTTTAGCATTAGCTTGCAGTGCAGGCTCTTCTTTAGTCTAATGATCTCAGTAAACAGATGCTACAAAATTGTACCAGTTATCTAAATCATCAAACAGAAACCTAAAATAAACTCAGGCCTGGACTAATTTTCCAGCTGGACATCAGAAGCCTTCTTTATCTCTGTTTTCTTTCCTGTCCATCTGGTAATAATTATCTCTGCTGTAGATGGATTTAGGTTTGACTCCAGCATCCTCTTCAGGATCTAAAGGTCCCTCAGCATTTTATCTCATGATTAATTTTTACACTGCCGTGAAAAAGAACTCTTAACTTTTAACTTTTGCATATATATGTCAAGTCACAAAAATAAATGATTATATATTTTATCTGGGATTTTTTGATACAGATCAACACAAAGTACATATTTGTGAGGTGAAGGGACTATTGCTGATGTTATTTTATTTTTTCTTCCTTATTAAAAAATGTGATACATGCCCCATTTACTCTCTCCATGATGTTTATTCTACAATGGTCTCAAACTTTACTCAGTGAAAAATTAGCTGGCTTCTGAAATGGAAATGGAAATATTGGTTTTAAGGCCACCAGATGGTTCTTTAAAATGCACCAGTGCTTTGTTTCTGTCCCTGTTTTTGCTGGATATGCTGCTGGGTTAAAAATGGCCTGACATCTGAGGAGAGTGGGAGCCAAATTACATGCAGATGTGCCGCAGAAGGATTGTTTCTGTTTGTGATAAGTGTGTCAAAAAGACTTTTTACAAAAAGACCAAATTCAGTGGTGGAGTTTCATTTTATGTTGTTTTTTTTATTGTACATAAAAAAGTAACAAATTCATCAGTTTGACAAGAATTGAGCATCTCAGTAAAAACTATATGTGTGGATCTGAACAAGCAATGCAGTTAAAGTCTTTAAAGTTCACTCTGAAAAATATTTTCTGTTTTCCCATGATGCTGACATTTCACATTTGCAATAATACATTACTTGATGAGTAAAAACATGGAAATGTTTGCTGGACATAGATGGTTACTTCCAAGATCAGCTACTCGTATGAATGTGTTATATGTCGCCGTCTACTGGTCAGAACCGCAGCTGCAGCACCTCTGTACTGGTCAGAAAAACAAACTTTACCAAAATTTTGACTTCGACACTTTTTTTTTTTTTTAGTAATTTTTTAATCAACACGACACAAATTGAAATTCATGCTTTTGGTTTAGGAATTTTATTTTAGAAAAACATAAGTTTGTCTGCCCAAAACGACACTAAGTATCAGTTTATTTTTAAATTATTCACGAATTTTACTCAGCTATTTTTTTTCTTGTAGTCGCTTAAATTGATTTCTAGATTAACAACTTTTGAAGTACAGTAAATCATTTTATTTATTTATTTTTGCTTTATTAACTGAAATACACATCTGTATGAATGGAGAACCCTTTTTGATTTTTTTTTCTTTTATATTAGCTTTAAAAAAAAAATCTGAATTAAAAACAAACTAGTTAAGATCCAACAATGTGTAGGAGTTGATGAACAGGCATTCTTTTTTTTTTTTTTTTTTTTACCACATTTTTAGTAGATTTCTTGTTCATCTTGTTTGTAACGTAAAGAAACGGCATGAAGTAGTTCAAACATTTTTCCATTTTTTAGCCTATCTGGAAATAATAACTCTGATCTTTACCACATTTCTAAATTTACAGAATCTGACCTCAAGTGTAAAAAAACACCCACAAGAGATTCCACATTATGATAATTTATTAAACAAACGTGAAACCAAAACGAAAATATTTTATGTCCACAAAAGTATAAAATTATTCTGATACACCTTTGAGGGTCTTATTAAGCTGCTTATAACTTCTACTTAACAAAATATCAATGCAATAATAAATAAAATTAAATCAGTTAAAGAAAAAAAAACATTTACTCTTATCAAAAAGTAAAAATAAAGTATAAAACATGTCACATTTCTCCTATTGAAATACTTTCTGGACAGTCACAGTCTGGCAACAAATTCCTCCAAACGTTGCTGCAGGTTCTGGAGGAGTTTTCTGATTCTGGCCCATTTCAAGCTGGAGTTCCTATTACGTTTCATGTGTAACAGTATGGGTAGGGCATGAGAGGCAGCGTAGGAACCAGCTGGAGCCGGGGGCCTTGCTGGTACAGGGGCCCGCAGGTTAGAGCCGCGCAGACCGCAGGGTGGGACGGGAACGCCGGGATGAAGCCGCGCTGCTCCTCTTCCTCCTCCTTTCCCCGCAGGGTCACGGTCTCCTTCCTCCACTTGGTGCGTCGGTTCTGGAACCAGATCTTGACCTGAGTCTCGGACAGGCGGAGGGCCGCGGCGATGGTGTGACGCTCCAGCACCGACAGGTAGTGGCTTCTCTGGAAGCTGAACTCCAGAACCCGCAGCTGTTCCGGGGTGAAGGCGGTGCGGATCCGACGACTCTTCACCTTGAGCCGGGGTAGTGACTCTGTTTTACCCACCGTACGGTGCTCCGTCTTTCCATCTCCCTCATTAGGATTATGATTTTCTAAAGAAGAAAAAAGGAGAAAAAAAGTTAAAGTCATCGACAATTTGAAAAGATTCTAAATAAGATTTGAGCTGATTTTTCACCTGCAGCTGATTCCTCCCCAGTCGAGTTTAATTTCCGGGTAAACTTAGTCGGATTCAAGATATCCTCCACTGAAAATGGTGTTCTTTGGCTCTGTGGTACTTTGACTGTAACTGGCTGCATGTCTGCTTCTGGGGCCTCCCGGGCCCCTTGTGAGTCAATATATATATATATAGGCATCTCTTTCAGATGTGCATTTTATTCTAAGTGAGGCCATTCGGCTCACAGGAACAATCGTAACTTTTGCAGACACGCTCCGGCCTTGTGGGACCCCCGTGTTGGCCCTTCACAATGTAAATGAGGAGGATCCGGAGGGGCCCCTGAGCTTGTTAATTATTGTGCGGCATCTGGTCAAAATGTGCGCTCTTTCATTCCCTCCGTGTTACTTTTTGTACTCGGACTTGTCATTGTTTGCAAATAGGAGATTTTTTCACGGGTGAAGGCTCGTTGTGATGCTAATTTATAGACCCGTGGAGGGGAAAGTTGGAACCTCTTCGTCTTTGTGTTACAGTTTCCAAAAGCACCATTTGTCCTGTTATTGTGTGGCGTGTGTGTGCGCGCGCGTGCGTGCGTGCGTGCGTGTGTGTGTGTGTGTTTGGGGGGAAAGGAGGGGCAAAGACAAGTTTATGACAGAACATCTCATTATTCCAACTCTCTTGCAATCCCTTGTGCAAAAGTGATCAAAGTTTGAACCTCTTCCCATTTCTTCATGTTAGTGCATTGTATTGGGATTGTACAGTTGAAACGAGAGGTTTGCTTCAAATAAAAATACTCTTTTTGTCACTGTCTGAAGTTAAATCAGACCAAACTTCTCTTGTTTTAGTTTATTTAGAATTACAAAAATTGTTTTCTATTTGCTAAATGCCAGAAAACTGTTGAGAACATTTTAGAGATTAAAAAAATTTCTCCTGACAGATCCGGTGGAACTGGGTCAAGTACTGAGCTTCTTCTGATCTTGAAGACATAAAAAAAAATCAATCTCGACATGTTCTTTGTCTTATTATTGTGGCATTTAGCAAATAAATAAGTTTGTGTTTCTAGCCGAGCTGAAAGCTGTACTTGCAGCGACACACTAAAGTTTTGGTCCCATGGGAACGGAAGAGAAATAAATGCATCTCACACTTTTTTGATTTCTGCTAAAGCATCGAAAAACAAGTATTATGTACACATACAGGTCCTTCTCAAAAAATTAGGATATTGTGATAAAGTTCATTATTTTCCATAATGTAATGATAAAAATTAAACTGTCATATATTTTAGATTCATTGCACACCAACTGAAATATTTCTGGTCTTTTATTGTTTTAATACTGATAAGTTTGGCATACAGCTCATGAAAACCCAAAATCCCTGTCTCAAAAAATTAGCATATCATGAAAATTTTCTCTGAACGAGCAATTAACCTCATCATCTGAATCAACAAAGTAACTCTAAACACCTGCAAAAGATTCCCGAGGTTTTTAAAAACTCCCAGCCTGGTTCATTACTCAAAACCGCAATCATGGGTCAGACTGCTGACCTGACTGCTGTCCAGAAGGCCATCACTGACATCCTCAAGCAAGAGGGTGAGAAACAGAAATTTCTGAACGCATAGACTGTTCCCAGAGTGCTGTATCAAGGCACCTCAGTGGGAAGGAAAAAGTGTGGCAGAAAACGCTGCAAAACGAGAAGAGGTGACTGGACCTCCATAACACCTCAGCAGAGCCACAGGCTGATTGCCTCCACGCCGCATTGAAGGCTGCAAAAGGATTCCTGACCAAGTATTGAATGCATAACTTAACATAATTATTTGAAGGTTAACTTTTTTGGTATTAAAACACATTTCTTTTATTGGTCGGATGAAATATGCTAATTTTTTGAGACAGGGATTTTGGGTTTTCATGAGCTGTATGCCAAAATCATTGGTATTAAAACAATAAAAGACCAGAAATATTTCAGTTGGTGTGCAATGAATCTAAAATATATGACAGTTTAATTTTTATCATTACATTATGGAAAATAATTAACTTTATCACAATATGCTAATTTTTTGAGAAGGACCTGTATATATAGTGTTTGTATTAGTGCAAAGCAGTTTCTACAAAGTAGTTTGTATTAGTCTGTCACATAAAATCCCAATTAATCACAAAACATTGCAACTGTAAAGGGTGTGAATTCTTCTGTAAGTCCCTATGCTCATGTTTTTATATTTAAACTCCCCACTAAGCTTTGAACATCTCCATTACCTTTATAATTAATCCTGACTGCCTCACCTTTTAGCCCACATTACTGCTGATAGTTTCCTAATAACTTTAATGGCTGCAGCTCTCGGCATCATGGGGGGGATTCAGATTACAGCAGGGGAGAGGAGGTAAGGGTCACTGAGGGGGAGGCAGGACGGGAGTAAATGTTCCTGAATGTGACAGCTGCCACATCGCTCCCAGCTACCGACATCTACAGAGCGGCTGGTATTGTTGGACTGGGACAGGCCGGCCCACCAGGACAATTAGCAGATGTCTACAGTTGGCTTGACCTTCTCTGACCCTGGGCTTTATCTCTCAGTACAAGAGAGTCAGGGATAGACTCAGAACAAAAAGAAGAAATGATTAACAAAGTGTTTCACAATCATGCATTTAGTGTTCCCAACCTGCATTATTTAAATTTTGCGATTGATTTGATATAACTGAGACACCATGTTGAATCTATGCCACAGAGAATTAAGGCAGTTCTCAGGTTAATGAAATTATTTATGTCAAGTTATTTTCATGTGCTTAAACGGTCAAAATCTAGACCTGAGAATCTGTGAAAACACCTGAAATCACTTGCTCTGTGTCTCTGCTTCCGGTCTAAATGAGCTTGAGTAAGTTTGCAAAAGTGAGTGAGCAAAAATGTCATTTGCAAATCCAGCAGAGGCATATTCCAAAGACTTACAGCTGGAAGTGTTGGAAAGGAGTTGAACACAAATGCACAACATCCCTTTTCAGATGATCTCTTTCCACAATCTGGAAATGTTCTCAAAAATCATTGCATGATGTGCTGATTAATAAACATGTGGTTTAATTTACAGTGTGACAGTCACATCTTCATCCAAATGTCACAGATGTGTCTTCCCTAGAAGAGGGAAGAAGAGGAGAGCACACCGCCATTATCTCCTTAATCACTTGAGGGCGTTTAAGACAACACCAGGGGAGGTTTTCAGCATTCCAGTGCTTCTTTGTCCAAACTCTGCTGGCACACTTGCTATTGTGCTTGTTGCATTCATGCTGGTGAGTGAACAACCCTGCAAAGATCTTAATAACTGAAAGTGGTGTGAGGTGGTCCTACATCCACAAAAAGCCTTGTTTCCTGTTACTCTTTAGTGGAAAGCAATTAAAGGAAGGGGTGAACGAGCGTAACGAGAGAGAACCATTGTGACGACAAGTCTGTGAAGTAATATTCTGAATTCTGTTCTCTGGGACATTAATTAGTTAAGGTCTGATAAGAGCTCACCTGCAAGTAACTACCACTGTAATGGAAACAGTTAATTACAACATTGAATATTCAGTAGTGGAGCTGGATATCATCTGCATGGAAAAGATGACACATTAGAAAACTGCCTGATTATTTTTGCCTTGGCGAGGAAAAAAGAGAATAGGTCCTAAGACTCAGCCCTGTGGTGTCCCACATAGGAGGCTCTGGGAGTCAGATGCAGTCTGGGTTGCAAAAACACTTGATGTTCTGCAAGGTAGGAGCTATGCTGCTCTGGAGCCAGACATGATGGACCACATCTCTGAAATACTGTGATCTACAGTGACAAAAATGTGTGTAAGATCCAGGAGAACCACTATAGTGGCTGCTCCAGAGTCAGCTGACACTGTCACTAGAAACTTTGAGTAGAGCAGTGTCTGTGGAGTGTTTACAAAAGCCAGACTAAATTTATGTTTTTCTGTATAAACAATTAACTGTTCTTCCACTATTTTTTAGATAAGTTTTGATATAAATGGGATCTTGGAGAAAGGCCTGTAATTTTTACGCTGTGTAGAATCTGAATGGCTCAACAACTGCTTGCTTAAAAGAACTTGGGTCCATGTGTGTTAAAAGTGACATGCCGCAAATTCCAAAAATACAGAGCAGGAAAAACCTTTTTAAATAACACTGCAGGGAGGGTGACGAGGTAGATCATTTCATTTGGTCGAATAAAAATGAAATGTCAGAGTCATTGGATCAAACATCTTTAGAAACTGTGAAAGTGGAGAGTCCATTATGATAGACAAGGACTTCTCCTCACATGATTGATTTTTAGCAGACACAAAAAAGACAGTCTTTACTCGTTACGAATGTCACAAAATCTGATAAAAGTAAAGAGTGACACCGTGCTGAGCATTTGTGTTCCTTTTCCAATATTAATGAAAAAAGCGATAAAAGGGAAATAACAGTTTTGGTACCTCAGACCACCCTTTTCATTAAAATTATATATATTGGGTTAAAAAGTTTTTTGTTTCAATGTGGAAACATATTTTATTGCTTTATAACCACAAATTTCAATGTACTTGAAATGATATGTTACATATCGACATAAATTTCAAATAAAAAAATAATTTAATCAAACTTGGATACTATGGAAAAAAAGCATCTCTCTTTCAAAGTCTGCACGGTTTTGATTATAATTTACAACAAATAAATGTAAGTTTTAGAACACTCTCTACTGACTTCAATTGTAGTTCTTTTTGTAACCTGCTGTGTCGCTATTGCTTTCATCAAAAAGAAAAAGCGGAAGTCGCACTCCCGCGATACTTTTTTGTTTTCATTGATTTCTAAACATGGCGTCTGAATTGCAAGCGGGTACCGTAGCTGCAGCAGAAAAGGACTTGGCTGTCGGGTATGTCTGTTTTGTGTCCATCTTTCCCGAAAATTACAGAAGTTATCATAGTAATTCAGCTGACATATTAAAGTTTCGCAGACATGTAAGGCGCGTTTTCAGGAGGAAGACCGTTAGCAGAATAGCTAGCTAACAAATGATGTGCACACGAACTGCCACGAGTAAAATGAA